TGCTGTCCAACCCTCGACACCGACTCCTGCTGTTGTCCAGTCCACCGCCACCTCCCTTGCTCTCTTCTACGCTACCGCCACTTGCTGCAAACCTCCTCCCAGCAGGCCATCCGCAGTCCTCTATCAACCCGCGCCACAACCTCACCACCTTCCAGCATGACCGCCGCTTCCAACCCTCCCTTTCGGGCCTACCGTTCTCCTCTAGAGAGCCATTTTGTGTTTTGTGTTGTTTCTCTTCTTGCTTTTGCAGCGTCGGCGTCATTATTGGCTGCTTAAATATTTGTGCTGTTTTATGTTCATTGTTGTAGTTTTGAATTCAACGATAATATTTGTTGTTCTGTCGTGATTTGGACCAACTCTGATATCATTTGGTCATAGAGTTAGACTAACTTTAGTCTTATCCTAGGGTTCCCTAGAGTCCGCCAATATTTTTTCCCCCTCTTTCTTTTTTCTTTTCTTTTTATTTTCGTTCTTTTTTTTTTCCTTCCACAGACCCCAAACCTTCAACCATGCCCTCAAGGAGATACCTGTCGAATCCCACCCGGGATGAAATACAACGGGAGATCTGCCGTCTGCAATAGAGATTAGCAAAGATGGATGATGGGACCTAGGGGAAGATTACCCTTGACCGCATTAGCAAAGATGGATCTGGAGAGTCGAAGGGGCAACAGGGACAAAGATCTGAATCTGTACCACAGAGACGAAATCATTGACGAGGAATACCGGCCGCACTGCTTCATAATTCAATATCAGAAGAGGCTGAGAGATGAGCCCGCATAAAAGGGACACAGAGACAAGAGTTTGAGTGAAGCATGTATCTGGATGACTTTGTTGACTAGCTACAATCAGTGGAGTGAGTCTTCAAGCATAAGAATGTGTCATAGGATAAACAGGTAAAACTGGCCATCAAAAACTTGAAAAAGAGTGCCTCCTTGTAGTGAGAGAACTTTCAGAAGCAGATGAAAAGATAAGGCCGTGGTAAAACTTTTCGGTGAAAGAAGATTGGGAAAGAAATGCAAAGGAAGTATTTACCTCCTCATTACCACCAAGACATGTTTCAGAGACTCCATCACTTGCAACAGTGAGATCTTTCAGTGGAGAAATTCAAGGTGCAGTTCAATTAGTTACAGATAAAGTGTGAGTTGGTTGAGCCAAAGGAGCATACGATCGCTCGATATTTGGGTGGCTTGAAGCCCGCTATTAGCAATATGGTGCAATTACAACCCCACTGGTCGCTTAAAGATGTTCAAACCTTAGCTATAAAGGTGGAAAAACAACAAAATAGAGCGAACAACAATCCTCATTTAGGCACCAGTTTTTAGTCAAGCAGCCATCTACAACTACAACGACCGATAAGGGTCCTTTTGGAGGAGCTAGCAAGGAAATATAGGGAAATGACAGGTAGGATCAAGAGTGGAAAGAAACAGGAGAAAAACAACTCTTCCAATACCAATACAGTACTAACCAGGAAGTGCTTCAAGCGCCACGGTTATGGCCACATAGCCTCCGGCCATCCCACGAGTCGTGTAGTACACACTTGCTCTTTTGGTATTGGCATCTAGCACATGTATGGAAAATGTTTGATTATGTCAAATCTTCTATTATAACTTGGGTTGAAACAAAGTGAATGGCACACAAAATGCATGATAGAGACATCATAATGAATGAGCATGAAATGAGCAACAAGCTTGGAATGAAAGCGTGGCACGAAAGGTGGAGCTAGGTATGATTAAACCAGATTATTAATAAGGTTTATGTTTAGGGTAAGATTTTCCCACTCTAATACCATATTCTGGAGATGAAAAAGACTGTCTTATGCGTCAAAGATTCCCTAATTATAATAAAGGAATGAGTGTGATGGTTTAAGGTACCAAATAAACACATACCATTATCCATAAATAAAGTATTTTACTATTTTAAAGCCTCTCTATGATAGTGTCTGCTGTCACTATAGCCATGTCGGATGCACCTCAAATGATGGTGATAATGCCACTCATCATCTGAATTACCAACCATCTACATGAACAAAATATCGATGGAGGAAAATTTCAGGCCCACAATGGGGCATCAATGCGGCTAAATCCCAATATAAAGGAGGTGGTTAGAGCGGTAGTTTTGAACTTGCTAGATGCCGAGATCATTATCCAATTTTAGATAGCACATGGGTAAGCTCATAGCAAGTTGTGCCAAAAAAGGTGAGATCGCTTTGACAACGAGAATAACATGTTGATTCCTAACCTACATTGAATAGAGAGTTTTCATGAATTAGAAGATGTTGAAGAAAACTACCAGGAAAGACAACTTCTCATTATCATTCATTGATCAGATGTTAGATCAGCTTGCATGACACTCTTTTTGTTGTTTCTTGGATGGTATTTAGGGTAAAATAAAATTTCAATGCCCCTTGAAGATTAGGAGAAAACCACCTTCATCTACCTGTATGGAATATTCACCAACTGCAGGATGCTAATTGGTTTGTGCAATGCTCCAGGCATTTTCCAACGATCTATGATGGATTTCTTCTTAAATATGATGGAAAACTACAAGGAGATATTCATGAAAGTCTTTAATGTGTTTCCATCAACGTTTGACTCATGCATGAAATTTTTATGTCACGTCCCGGCCAGTAGCTCGAAATTTTTCAAGACAGGACACACAGTGGGACGATGAACATCATTATGTTTTATTTTCATTTCTATAACTAACATTTAATCCCAAAACAAATGAAAGAGTCACTACCGGTTAAAAAAAATTATTTAAACAAATGATAAATTTAGCTTAGCACAGATGTTGTGGAAAACGACGGCAATAAAGCGAAAAATGGAATGAGAAATTCGCAAAAAAAAAAAAAACAGACACACAGATTTACGTGGTTCAACAATTTTTTTACGTTCATGGAGTTGCAGAGGATTTTATTACTTTAAGAATTACACCGTAGGTCACCTCGACGTTTACAAGAAAAGCTCTCTCTCTCTCTACCCGAGTAACTATCAGCGAATAACTTTTTCATCATATGTACATTGTTATTCGTTGATGGTTTTTCATACATACCTAATAAAGCTATCATGAGATCTACAGTAGTCATTTCCTTGATGTGTTGTGAGCAACAGATCTCGACAGAGTAAATCGAATAACCCCCAGAATCTGTCGATCCAACAAATTTCAATCAGCTTCATCCATCTTCTCCGGTCGCTTTCCCAGTAACAAAAGATGAAGTTTTTTCTCATAGAGGTAGTCATCTATTTGCATCCTCCAGTAACCAAAATCTGTCATCAAATTTCTCGATCCCTTATGCCATCACTTCATCTCCAATCATCGTTCTTCCTTAGATCTGAACCACGACTGATACCAGTTGTTGTGGAAAACGACGACAATAAAGCGAAAAATAGAACAAGAAATTCACAAAAAAGAAAAGAACAGCAATAAAGCGAAAAATAGAACAAGAAATTCACAAAAGAGAAAAGAACAGACACACAGAATTACGTGATTCGGCAAATTGTCTACGTCCACCGAGTTGTAGAGGATTTTATTACTTTAAGGATTACATCGTCGATCGCCTTGACGTTTACAAGAAAAGCTCTATTTATCTCTCCCTCTCCCTCTCCCTCTCCTCTCCTCTCCTCTCCTCTCTCTCTCTACACGAGAGTCACACGGCAGAAGAAGAAACAAGAGCTACCTTACAATTCAATTATTCCTCCTTGCCTTGACCCAACACCTTGAAGAATAGCGGAGGGGAGAGCAGCCGCTATTTAATCCAATTTCTTCTGCAAGCATTTAATGGTGGCAGGACCTACCAAAGCAAAGGAAGCGGGATGCCTTATAGCGGGAGGTGGGATTTGACGAAGGGAAGTTTGTAGAAGCTTTATAGAGAAAGAAATTAAATTAAGAAATAATTTAATTTGTTGCCTTAATCAACAGTGAACCGGGCAACACCAACCTCAACAACAAATTGTCCCCATCTTTTATAGATATTTCATCATCTATTACTCATCTTCACATCAATGATTAAACCTGAAATGCTAATTTAAAATATGATGAACTACAACATCTAGTGAATATACATACTTCTTAAACTATAATAACACAGCGAAAAAGAAAAAAATTCAAGTAGTTAAACATTAATTAAATCAATATGAGAATATTTAATGGTTTATACTGTTTAATATGATCATTCAAAGTGGTTCTAAATATCAGCTATGTCTTACTATATCATTTACATATCCATATATTTGTAATATATATACAACAGTCAAATGAGCATTGTTTAAAATTGTACTAGTTAAGGTCGTTCAATATCAATAACATTTTTCATTTATGTACACGTATAATTTTGCGTTCTCCCACCAGTACTTTATGAATGAATTCTATAATAGTTAACATGCAAAAAAATATACTATATAGTCAATATCATTTATATGCTCATCTCCAACAATTATATATATATATATATATATACTTAAATTAATGTGATAATTATTATTGCTAGCCATTCATGATAATGTGACCAAAAAGAAAGAGAACATATAAATAAATAAATAAAAAACTATACAAGCGAATATATAGGTATCAATAACTACCAATGCAACTGGTTGAGAAGAAGATAAAAAAATGCTATCATAAATTAAAAGTAAGAGAACTAATATTGAGCTTTTCACATTTTTAACTCCATAAGTTGTAACCGACTCTTCAAAGCTATGAAATCCTACAGGTGAAAGCAAAACAAAATATTAGATTCTTATAATTATGCAAAGTATTTTCTTTCAATAAATCTTTAATTTGATTCATTATACTTTAATTAATATTTGTAAATATGTTAAATCAATTAATCTTTAGCTAATTTAACACAATATAATTATATTAACTTTTATTAAAATTTGTCATATTATAAATTTAGGGTTTTATTAATTAAATTCTCTAAATTAATACATAAAAAATTTTGTACATTCAATTATTATTTTATTATAATTATTGTTATAATTAATTTCATATAAAAGCTCTGATTAAAAAAATTGAAAATACTTCATTGAAGTTACCTCGGCTCAAAAATGCTTCAAAACCAAGGAAAAACAAACAGCACTGAAGGCTTTCCCTGCTTGACGAAGCCAAAGCTTGCCCGACAACATCACCTCCTTCGACTTTGATCGCTAGCGTCGTTACCCTTGACACTGCTTAGCACCTCTTTCAACAAGGGACAGCTAGCATACAACAATCGATTACTCACATGCTGTCCTCGACCTAGCATACAATCCCATCGCTTCTTCCTCCTCCAATTCTATCGCTTCTTCCTTCTCCGATACTTTTCCAACTCCAAATACACAACAACTTTGTGAGCCTCAACGTCACCTGCATAGCCTCTCACTTGGTATATCGCTTCTCCCTTTGGAGAGCCTTCCTCGACACTAGAATCCATGCAAGAGCCCCTCACACCATTGTCATTGCCATTGTACATGTTGATCAACCCCCCACATATGATGGTGTTCATGATCGAAGTCGACATCACCCTCGTATAGCTCTCAGTTATTGCTCTAGCCAGGCTTTATTCGATGGCATCACTTAATGTACTACTCCTCTCCTTCACACACCTCTTTGTTTCTCTTCTCAGGTTGCAAAGTCGTTCTGCTTCATAACGAGGGTGGGTTTCATAAATCCTTGTGAACCTCGCGTCCTTAGCCTCCCCCACACGTAATGCTTGCGTTATGCAGAAATAACCGAGTGCTACAATTTAGCAGTAAGATTTAACAAATGTTACGAGACAAATTTGGTGTTAAAATTAGAAGAAATGTCATTTTATGATTGATGAGGATAGTCTGAAGATATAATGTTTCTATAGTAGACATGAGAAACTTCCTTCCCCTACATCAATCAAACTTACTCACACCCTTTTGGGACAAATTGCATTCTACATAAAGTTCATTCAAAACTTCTAAAAAATCACCAAAACTCTCTTTATAATTTATTGACAAGTAATGTTCCATTCAACATTGATAGTGTCTCAAAGCTTTCAAGATGTTGAAAGGCTCTCATTACAACATCCATTATTATTGCGTTAGATTGGAACCTACAATTTGAGTTGATGTATGATACAAGTCACTACGTAGTTGGGGTTGTATTGGAGCAGAAAATCAGAAATTTCTTCCACACCATACATGATGTCAGTCTTACACTTATAGATGCGTAATTGAATTACGCTACTATGAAAAAAGAGTGATTAGCAATAGTCTTCGCATTTAATAAGTTCAAAGCTTATATCATTGAAGCTAAGGTAATTGTTTCATATCATGCAACCATCAAGTACTTATATATTTTTTTCAAACAGAGTGGGTGTTCAGACCTAACGCGTTAGGATTTTTTTTTTATTTCCAACCAATATGTTACACATTCGAGTAGTCTTAATTGAGAAGAATGATGCAAAACCTAGATTGATCCACTAGGCACTACTGCACTATTGTTCTAAGAGTTTGACCTTGAGATAAATAACAAAATATAACAAAAAGGGCATTGAGAATGTGGTGGCAGATCATCTTTTCATGTTGGAGAATGTTGAAGGGAGCAAGCATAATCAAGAACCAATCCTGGAGAAATTCCCTGATGAGCAGTTATTTTTCTTAGCACTGATCCAATACTGTGGTTTGCAGACTTCATCAACTACCTGGCATGTGGAGTCATGCCATTTGATTTGTCATAAAAGAATAGAAAGTATTTTCTAGCTGAAGTAAAACATTATTTATCAGATGACATGTACCTGTACAAGTTTTGTGCCAATCAAATCATCTGCAGATATTTACCTAAAGAGAAAAATATGAGCATGTTGCATAACTGCAATGCATCTTAAGTATGGAGGATACTTTGGAGCATATCATACAATTGCAAAAGTAAAAAAGTCCAAATTCTATTAGCCCTCACATTTTAAGGACTCCTATGAATACATGGTCCAACGTGATTAAAGTCAACAGAAAACATTACCAGATGTAAAGAGATGCCCACAAACAGCATTTTAGATGTTTAGCTTTTTGATGTTTGCTAGATTGACTTCATGGGCCCCTTTCTGCCACAATTCAAAATTTTGTACAACTTGGCAGCTGTTGATTATGTATCAAAATGGGTGAAAGTGGTCATGCTCTAAACTAGTGATAAAATTTCTAAGAAAGCACATATTTATCAAATTTGGCATCCCAAAAGTGATAACAACGATGAAGAAACTTTTGCAATAAGCTGTTGGAAGGCATAATACAAAAATTACGAGAAAAAGCACAAAATCTCAATAACCTATTGTTCACAAACGAATAGGCAAACAAAAAAATTCCAATTGAGAGCTGGAATGTAATTTTAGTAGTAGTAGCTCTAGTGACAGAAGTGTAACTTTGGGGGATCAAATTATTAAAAGGTACGAACGTTTTAGATATCTTGGGTTTGTTGTTCAAAATGATGGTGATATAGATGGGGATGTTAATAGTAGAATTCAAGTTGGTTGGTTGAAACAGAGGAATGCTTCGAGCCTTTTGTGTGATAGAAAAGTACCACTTAGACTGAAAGGAGACTTTAGACTGAAAGGAAAATTTTATAAGACGGTGGTGATACCTGCAATGCTCTATGGCGCTAAATGTTGGCCTTTAAAAGAGAAGGATAATACTAAGTTAAGTGTTGTTGAGATGAGAATTCTTAGTTGGATGTGTGGCTTGACATTTAGAGACAAAATACGAAACAAATATATCCGTGAAATGGTTGATGTAGCTCCAGTGGCAAACAAGATTAGAGAGAGTCATCTTAAATGGTTTGATCACATTAAACGTTGACAATTTGATTATTCGGTTAGGAGAGTAGATGTTTTAGATTCGACTTAGGTTAAGAAAGGCAGAGGTAGTCCTAAAAAGAAAAAATGATCTTAATTTATTAGAATTAAATGAAAATATGACACTAAATAGGACGGAATGGAGAAAAAGAATTCATGTAGTCGAGCACACGTGGTAGGATTAAGGCTTTGTTGTCGTTGTTGTTGTTGAGAGCTGAAATAGATATGGTAGAGAATAGTGGGTAACAACAAAAGGATTGGTCGCTAAATTGGATGATGCACTGTTGCCTATGGGATAGCTTTCAAGACACCAATTGGCATTTCCCAATTGGCAGGTTTACTGTAAAACTTGTCACCTACCGGTAGAGCTGAAGCATAAAGCTCAATTTTGACATGCAAGAGGTAAGAAGAAAAAGACTACATTTGAATGACATAAATGAATTAAACACAGCTGCAAAAGAGAATGCCTAGAAATACAAGAAAGATCAAAAGCTTGGCAAGATAAGAATGTAATGAAGAAGGAATTTTCACCAAAGTAAAAAAGTGTTGTTTGATGACTCTAAACTAAAGCTCTTTCCTGGGTAGTTGAGATCAAGATGGTTAAGACCATATATAGTTCAATGGGTATACTCCTATGAAACTCTGGAGATTCACAATGAGAAAAGCAGGTCCTTTAAGGTCAACTGTCAAAGACTAAAAACTTAATTTATGAGCAGCATCAAGGATAGCAGCACAGGAGTTTTACTCCAAGAACCAGAAGTGGCTGCATCATGAGAGCTGCATCTGGCTAAAGACATTAAACTAAATGTTTACTAGAAAGGAAACCCAACATTTTTAACTACTAGTTATCTACCCATTTTAGATTGTTTAAATACTCCCGTTATCTAATTCATGTATCCTCTTCATGCCAGCGATAATTAAATTAATCAAGACTAAAGCAATACTAGAAGATGCAAGAACAACAAACAAGATGTAGAAGTAGATGACTAACCACGCACCCTGCGGGGAAATCTTTGTCATTGCTTTTCTTTTGCTGTGCTTTCTTCTATTTTCATTTAGATCGTTCTATTTTGTTGTTCCAGCACTGAGGGTAATGCTAGGATTAATTATGAGGGAGGGACCGTTATCTGCTTTCTGCTTTATTTTCTAATATTATTGTTGCCGTAGAGAATGTCATGTTCAGTTTATTTCGTTTTGCTTATCTTTGCTCAGTATTTTTATTTGTGTAGTTTATGGTTCAATAAGTTATGCATTATTTTGTTGCGATATATTAGGAGAGAAGAGTGGGATGGCATGTTTTTGCTGCTATACAGTTTAATGGAAAACCTATTTTATCAATTGAGCATTGTGTGGAGATTTATGAAAGATGATTAAAGCAATAATCTATCCATTGTATTTATAATTCTTGTTGTTTAGCTTTTATTCGTGAGGATCTAATACTGGGACATAATATGCACTACACTTCACTATGTCAGATAGGTGATCGGTAAGAAATAATAGGAGCAAGGATTGAGAGGCAGAGTCTGTAGACTGTGAGATGGGAATTCCTTGACCATATATGTATGTATGTATGTATGTATATATATATATATATATATATATATTAAAAAAAGCTCAAGGGAAATTATAATAAAGAGAAAAGGGTACAGATAAGTTGTATGAGTGGGCCAAATAGGCACCCAAGCCACACGATACAACAAACACAAAAAGAAAAGAAAAAAATTAAAAACCCAAAAGAAGATGGTACATATAAGATCAATTGGGTCGACTCAATTTAATTATGCCTCTGCCTCTAGTTCTAGGAAGGGAACCAACTAACAAATTGGTGAGATGCGTGCCATTGCTCGAAGTAACCAAGTATCATCCATTAGATTTCTTAGCTCAAGTAGATTTCTATTCTTTTTCTTCCTCCTGAAAGCGTAGATCTGCCATTCCTCATCCGAAGATTGTTGCTCATTCGGATGAGATAGTAGTGCTGCAGTAGAAAGATTGCCAACAGTTGTGCCCACAAGAGGTTCAAATGTATGTGAGGTAAGAGTTGTCGCCTCTACCCCTGATACTGCTTGAAGATGGTGAGCTGCAAGGTTTTCCTGATTATCAGTCAGTGTAGGTAGAGGTCCTTCAATATTGTTTTCAATAGGGTTTGAAAGTGTATGTTACTCAGCAGGGCCATCCAGCTTCTCATCGATCGCATAAATAGTATTTTCAAGGGGAGGGTCCATAGGGGCAATAGAATCATACACAAATCATGTCCTGTGGTAGTTTTCTCTCCAGGTAAACATATATATTCAAAGCGGTGGGGTCAGATCCATCCTTATTCACTTGATCTTTAGATTTCAAATTAGATGAAGCTTATGACATTTATCAAGGGTATGCCCAAACATCTTACAATAAGAACGATAAAGAGGTTTATGCTCCATGACGATTTGTTGATTCGATTTGTTGTCAATATCCATTATGAGTTGTGTCCAACCAAACTTCAGTAACATCCGGTAAAGTAATATATCTTTCCACAAGTATTTTTGCCACAGAAGGTCTGGTAAGGTTGAAAATGGATAGATCTAGTTTTATAGGATCCCCAAGTATGACACCAATAGAGTAAAGAACCTGATGATGAAAAAAGTGAAGCTTGAGACCAAAGAGACAAAATCATACCGGTACAGTAGGAGGTTTATGATTGGGGTCAAAATTTGTAAACCACTTGAGTAGCTTCATTGGTTTACCAGCAATGTTAAGATATTTTTTTTGGAGAAAATCTGAATGTAGTCTTCAGGCACAGTTAACTGAATCAATACATGTCTCCCATCCATGAGCCCCACCTTCCACTTTCCTGCTAATTTGAGATCATCAAAACTTTTCCTGATAACTTCTATAGGTGGGTGTCCCCACGGAAATTTTTCAAAAAAATCAAACTTGAATTTGTCAGTTAGGGTTAAAATTTCTAACTCAGAGAAAAAAAGTATTGTCTTCTCACTTTTCCTGCTTGCATTCTTGGTAAAAGGGCAATCACTTGTACCATCACGATACTCCTTATAACTTGAGGGGAGGACAACAACCATCTCCCCTGAGAATTACCAATCACGTGTGCAAAAGATGTTTTGTCAGGTTCCACCGAAAAAGAAGGAAACTTCATCACAACAGCAAGGAGAAGCCCTGCCAAGTCGGGCTGAGGGCAAAAACGACGAGCAGAAGAGGTCGGGGCGAAGCTGCGCAGAAGACACGAACCAGATGTCGAAACCGCCACGACAATCTCAGCAAACCGCAGCTTAACGAGGCAGAAGACACGAATCACAGAAATGGGGCGGAGGAGACAACGAAACCGCAGAAGCTGGAAGATGCCGTGGTTTTGTTGCTGGGCGCGAAGAAGGAGACGACGACGAAACCAAAGCCTTGCGTCGCTGGGCACGAAGGATGAGACGACGATCACAGAGGAGAAGTCCTTCGTCATCGAGTACGAGAGCTTTGTCTTATATATATATATATATATATGGTAGTGCCTAAGTTCAAGGCTCGACATGAAAAGCACACAGCCTTTGACAGAAGGGGCAATCAAACACACGCAGCCTTTGATAGAAGACTCTTTAAATAACATCAAATATTTTTATTGATTTATTAAAATCTTATTTGACATACTTATTGTTTTATTTTCTCTTATATTACTATAGTTTATGATTATGAGTATTCACTGACTCGTTTAGCTCACAATTATTTTAAACTAATTTTTCAGGTTTAATTAGTTGACTAAAACACGAGCAAAAAAATAGAAAATAGTTATAGAAGACTTGGACAACCAATACGAGGTCAAATTAATTTTAATTATTTAATTTTATTTAATTAGTGGCTCTTTCATTTTGTTAATTTCTAGCTATAGAAATTGGGCATCAAAATTTCATTTCACACTGTCAGACCATATGTTCCCGCCTTGATTAATTCCAAGTCCTGGGCCGAGTCGTGACAACAGATGCCTAGGCGCCAACCCCAGGAGCTTAATGCCCAGACCAAGGACCCTAACTCATGCAAGAAATGCCAACATGAGGGCAAGGCGCCCAAGCATTAGAAGAAAGCAACTAAGTGCCTGCCAGGCATCCAATCCAAGAACAAAGTGCCAAATGGCCATTTTCAACCATCCAGAATGAGTGCACGACACCCAGGCATCAATTTCAAACTAGCAAACAGAGTGCTCGATGCCCAAGCGACTAGGGCCAGTCCAACACCCAAAACTGATAACCCCAACATAACCAAATAGAGAGTTAGGTGCCTAGGTGCTTGAGCCAACCACTTAAGCAATAAGCAGCGGCTAGCTTTGTATTTTAACAGATTTAACATTATTTATTGTCTTTCTTAGATTCATTTGAAGCCACCATATTTAAGAAATTATTAGACAAATAAAGAGATTTTTGGCAAATCCTAAGCCAATTTTTGCAACAACTTTCTGAGGTTTTTCTCTACGGAAAATAATGGAGTGGCAATTAAAGGACATTTGCCATGGAGACAGGGCAAGGACAAATATTGTGCAAGTAACACTAATAGCATGTGAAGCAATTTTTATCTTATATTATTTTTTTTTTAAAACATGAACTAATGTTCTTTTCTGGGGGTTGAATGTAATACATGTTTGGTCTTTACTAGTTGATGTCAATGAAAAGTATTTGATATTTTAGTTATCTTCATGTAATGTGTGTTTTGTTGGATTTAATAAGAAATATTACTTGTGTGGATACAAATTAATAGTTTAGGAGGTCTATTCAAAATTGCGAGGTTGAAGAAAAACTCATCGTCAATAAAGATACCACAATGGATTGATAGTAGGATAGAGATAAATGTAGAGAACCTGCATGGTCCTTGAGATCCAAAAATGTCGAAAGTATTTATAGCTTTGAATCTATCATCAAGATATGGACGGTTATATGAGCGAAAGCACAAACTCTAAGCTTGCAAGGGCAAGGTAGTGGCCATCTTTAATCGGATCAGTATACCATTAAACCATATACATTCTTTAGCCTAATTATCAGCTAGTCTAACCAACATAAGTGAAATCCAACCCCTAGAGTTCTCTTGCCCTAACTTTACTCCAAGTGAACACTTGGTTTAGTGGTAGCATTTTCCTTTTTCTTAATTTTTTATTTGATTGTTGCATTGCTCCAATATGGTCATTTGAAAATTACTTCATTGATTAAATTTCAATGCTTATCAAGTCGATTCCTATGGGATGATACTTTTACTCTTCACCTTTATTTTTTGTGTGATTGTGTGCTCTTGTGTGCATCATAAACTTACATCATATAACCCTTTCTAGACTTCATTTATCGAATTATATGCATGAGATTGAAAAAACCTAAGTTAATTAAAATTGATGCTCAATCTCTGGATTCAACATTCACAAAAAACAAGTATTATTAAATGTTAGTATAATCTGCCAAATTCAATGTGCTTGGTTTAATTTTATAATACTCAAATTGACAATGTTATTTATTATTGTTGTTTAAGTCAAAATTATATGGAAGTTCAATGCAACGTGGACCTGTTGTGAGATAACATTTTACAGTTATCTTACTTGTAAAATGTTTTATTTCTAAACAAGCAGTAAAGGAAGATGCCCTGCTCACTCATGAGGTGTTTTAGATTATGTCTTTGACATTTTAAGATGCCATTAGATAAGCTGCATCTAGATATTACTATTTGAAGACATAGATTTCATTTATACAATTGTTATGTTAATATGTTAGACACTAAATAAATGATATCTTCTAATGATATGACACTCCATTAATCTGTGAAACAAAGAATCCCCTCAAGTCCTATGAGCTCCACATTACAATTTCAACAGAAGGATGTTATAGGTATAAGCTATCAAGAGTAGACAATGGAGTAAACCTCTTTAACAAGTATGATATTCAGATTAACATGAAAAAGGTAACATCAACAATTAAAAACGATGCAAATATAAGAATTACCTGTGCATTTATTACATAGACGTCAGCTGCTGCATAAAGAGAAGCAACATGAGTAGTAGCCTTAGTCCACAAAAATAGTTTAGAAAGGTTTGGATTTTGAGATAGAAATCTGAGCATTTCCTTAACATAAGAAACTTTATTGCTTTTCGATCCCACCGATCCAATTAAAACTTTGAGGCTCTGTTCTTCATTGCCAGAAGATTCAGAAAGCAAATTCCTAATTTTTGGTCGATCTTGTTTCACAGATTTAGTTTGACTGATTGAGGGAAGAATATTATAGTCTTTTCTCTTTTTATTTTTGGAACTTACTTGGTGTACATCTTTAGTTTGCTTGTCTGGCTGGCTTGTGTTCAAATGCTGTGCTTGTAATTGTAGCTCATTTGTTATGTTTGTCCTGCTTTGACGAGAAACAATTAAAAATTCCTTCTCCAACATTATTTGATATATCTGAGATACATTACGTTCAGCCACTAAACGAGCTGCTTCAAGCAGTAACAACTGGCCTTTAGCAGGATTTATACTGCTTAAACTCATTACTAGCATATCATTATCAGACAAACCCATCTTTTTCCGAACTTCATTCCTCAAGTGATTTCTTTTCTCTATCATTTTATTAACAGTGAATACTGGAGTATTTAGGGAGCAGGGAAGGCCTGCTAAAAATGCCAAATCATCGTTAATGGAAAGAGGCACCATTGTAGGCTTTGTTTTCATCTTAATCTTGTCCTCTTCACACCAAGATAGCCACTGCTTGGACTGTGTGTCTGATAAAAATGTCAATGTATTCACTTTGCTCAGCATATGCTTTGATCGGTTAAAGTACTCCCGTCTGTTCTCCATGATCCACCAGACAAGTTGGTTTGATCCAGCAGGATTTCGTCTAATGTATTGTTCTGAGAATAATAAAAATAGCATCATGATCAGCTCTACAGTTACCTCTAAGACAAAAATATAATTACACAGAATCAAACACAAGGCATGTAATCAATTTCAATTTTTTTTTTTTTTGCAAATCCTTAATTAATAAACGAATAAATCCCTACATAATAAATTGGAGGTAGTAAGTTTCCACTTCTTGACAAGATTCATCAAAAATGTTCTGATCAGGCTTAAAAGTGCTACAAAAAAGTTCTACATACATACCACACAATTCTTAATGTATTTACATATCTAAAATCTAAGATTTGATATTTACTTATCTAGCATTTTTGTTTCACAATCAAACTTATGAATGAAAATGTATATTTTATTATAAAATATTTAAACTAGTGATATTTTTAATGTTATGTAAGGATTTGAGTGTTACATATGTAAAAATCTACGTTTAGAAGCTAGATAAATAAATACAGAAGAATTGTGTGGTATTGATGTAAATCCCCCTAAATTTAAACACAACCAAGCTTCATGATTTTGCAGCTGGAATGCAATGCAGGAATATTCTAGAACAGATTTACTTTGCTAATCATTCAGTAAATCTTATTTAAATATCGAGCTTAAATATTTAAAATTTACACCTCAAAACAAAGAATCGATTTGTGGCCTTTTTAACAGCTTTAGCACATACTAGGCAATTAAAATTTTAAGCATCAACAAAGTCTCCATTCAACAATGATTTCTGTTGTCACATTTTGCTTTTGAGGACCACAGAATCAGTTTCTAGACATTTGGTCGGGACCAGATCATCTGATAGTCCACGGCTAAGCTTTTTGAATTCTGAAAAATGTTGTTTATTTAAGATAGGTCAGGTTGATTTGGGAGTAGACCGTCTGTTAGTCCACCAGAAGGCTCTTTTCAAATTTCAGATTCCCCTTCTTTGGACGAATATTATTTGCCTATTTCCCTAACAGTCTCTACTTACAATATCTATTTAATTAGGCTAAATAAGCAATTAAAAAAATATAACTAGGCTAATTAATTATATAGAAGTAATAATTTTCCATTTAATTAATTGTTATATAAAGGCTAGGCAATTAAATAATAGTTAATCACTAGGATTATAGACTTTTAAGATAATTTGCCTAATTAGTTAGTTTAAGTGAGAATTAATTAGGCTAATTAGTTATCAACATTCATAGGATAATAAACAGCTATATTTTTATGCAAAAGTTAATAACAAAATTAGTCTCCTTAACAAAATATTAACTAATCATTATGAGGGTAAATTAGCAGGATTAACAAGGCAAATAAATCATTAAATAATAAATAAGCCAAAAATACAATTTCTAAGCATGTAATAGTTATATAACAAACAATTTAATTATTTTAAATGCTAATAAATACTTAGAACATTCAATTAATTAAAAATGAATTTAATGGTAATACTATTGGTCATCATCTAACTTATATTAATATCATTATTGTACACCCCTAGGGCAAACTCGCCTGAAAGGATGACATATTGGGCGAGCTTGTTAAATTGGGCTCAATGTAAGCTCTCAACAACAAAGTTCAAGGCGCCTACCCGTCAACAGAACAGCGGACTCACACAACTATCATAGAGAAGCTTCCACTAAGGCTCAAGGGTAACAACAACATCCATACTTGACTTCATAAGCTAACCAGAATAAACCAGCCGCCTATAACCAGAGATGCCACCAAACCTTTTAGAGGACCTAGCGACTTCTACAACAAATGCATTATCTAGTCTAAGTCTATATTAGGGCAACAAATCTTTTGTGTTTCTTTGAGCTTTTCTTCTATAATTATTGTTTTATAGCTTTTAATTGTAGCGCTCGAGACCTCATATGCCTAACAATAAATAAAAAATCATGAAAAGAGCCAGGGGTTTGATCGTTTTTACTCTACTCCCCCTCAATTTCGTCATTGTACCTTCATAAGCAAAATTTTAATGTATTTACTTTCTCTATCTCTTCTCTCATCTCTCATCTGACTTCTTTGTTCCTCTAAATTTGTAAAATTTGGGTATAACCAACAAACTGGATTCAACACTTATAGTTCTTACTAAATATCTCATGCTGGTAACAATACTCCAAAAAACAACATTATTCATTATTCTACGAGCCAAGTAACTACTTTCGCTCAAATACAACACAATACATCACAGCACGAAACAACACATGATATCTTTGCCAAGTACCCAAGTCCAATCAACGTACCTAGGAATGCTATAAATGTACCAAAAAGCTCTTTCCATAACTTAGTAATTGTTCATCTAAGAATAGTTTCTATTTGTTTACATAGCTGATTAAAAAATCGTGACTATAATTTAAGAAGATTAGCCTCCAACAAAACAAGCTAAAAAATTGTCATGTTTTGTTTATGCTCAGAAATATGTTCCTTTAAAAATGAACAAGTAGCTCGCCAAGAACATGACAAAGGTACTCATTTGATGCTTCTGTTTGGGCTTATGCAATTTTTCATTTTATGCTGATGTAATGAAATTACATTTAATTATTTTAAAAGTATATTAATAAAAACATAACTATGATGGGTACTCATAATGATCAAATTATTATAAAATTTCATTTGCTCTCTTTTTTATTAGAATATCAAAACATTAAAACAATATTAAATCATGTTAAAACTTACATATGATGGTGTATTTGTGCTAGATAAAGATGTTATAAGCTCATAAATTAGAATGTCACAAATATTTAAAAGACTTGAATAAAGCTCGGCTTCAATCAAAGACAATTAAAAGATTAAATGAGCAAATTGGGACATGTTTACAAATTTGAGCCCGCTTAAACTTGGTTAAAGATAGATAATGATAGGTAAACGAGCTTGAACATAGCTATGCTCAAATTTGCTCGACAACTTTACAACACCATACAACAACAACAAGCCTTTATCACACTAAATAGGGTCGGCTACATAAATCCTTTTTCTTCATTATGACCTATTGAGTGTCATTATTCATATAATTCTAATAAATTAAAATCATTTTTATACAATATGTTCAAGTCATTTAGGTCCACCTATCTTTCTTAACATAAGTCAAATCTAAAACATCTACGCTACTAACCGGATCATCAGATGGTCGACGTTTAATGTGACCAAACTATCTAAGACAACTCTCTCTAAACTATCCGCCACTAGAGCAACACCAACCCATTCACGGATACATTAGTTTCGCATTTGTCTCTAAGTGTCAAGCCACTCATCCACCAAAGCATTCTCATCCACTTAGTTTTATACTTCTCTTTTAAAAGACAACATTTTGCATCATAAAGCATTGCAAGTTTCACCACCATCTTATAAAATTTTCTTTTTAAGTCTAAGCAGTAATTTTCTATCACACAATAGGCCTGATGCATTCCTCCGCTTCAACCAACCAACTTGAATTCTATTAATAACATCCCAATTTATATCACCATCAATTTGAACAATAGACCCGAGATATCTAAAATGATCATATATTTTAATGATTTGATCACGCATAGTTACAACTCTGTCACTAGACTAGATATACTACTACTAAAATCTACTAAAATTATATTCCATGTCTTCAGTTTTAGATCTACTCAAACGAAGGCCTTTAGACTCCGATGTAGACCTCCATAATTCAAAATTTTTCCGAACTCTTTCTCTAGTCTTATCCACAAGAATGATATCATCAGCGCAAAGCATACACCAAGGTACATCCTCCTGTAAATGTCCGGTAAGAGCATCCATAACAAAAGCAAAACTAAAGGTGTAAATGAGCCGAACAAGAGTGAGTTGAGCTTTTGTTCGTGTTCTGCTCATTTGAAATTGTTTGTGTTCGAAATTGGCTCGTGTTAAAAATTGTTTGAAAATTTTATGTTCTTATTTGATTCAAATTGAGCTCGATTTGTGTTAGATTCGAATTTGGCTCGATTTAAGATCAATATTTAGGCAAGCTAAATTTGAATAAGCACAAAATTTATTTGTGCTCAACTCATTAATTTTTTTTATATTATTTATGTTCAAACGTATGCTCGAAATGACTGGAGGATTTCGGCAGAAGAAGTCCCGCAATACGGCTAAAGAAGTCCCCCATTCAATTTGAGCAGTATTTAAACAACAATGGAATATTCATTTTCTTAAACATACGCTATGGGACAAATAAAGGGAGGCAACGCGGCCACTAGAATTTTTAAATTTTAAATAGCCAATTTGTTTAATGATTGTTACTTAAAATTTGAAATAGTTGTCATATTTGGTTCATGTACTTAGCATTATTTAATTTGACTTTTGTAGCAAATTATTCTGCTTCATTTTCTTTATTACTCTTAATTATTATTCCCCTCTGTTAGAATTATACATACCACCCAACTCTTATGTATTTACATATCACACCTAAACCAAGAATGTGATTTATTTTAGGCCCATTCACATAGATACCATCCAAATCCTATTGAATTACATATATAGCACCTAAACTTATATTTTTTTATAATTAATAACTATACCGCTAAATAAATTTTAAAAATAATAAAATTTTACATTTTTAATACATATAAAAATTAATATAAAAGATATAAATAAATATTATTATTTTATTATTTCGAGCTAGAACGAGTTGTTTATAAATTGAGCTAAAAAAATTTGTCGGTGTTTGATTCGCTTTTAACGAATGATTGAACGTGAGCTATTTAACAAGCCAAATACGAGCTATTTGCGAACAATGAGCTATTTTTATAGCCCTAAGCAAATGATATGGGCTTAAAGCCGATTCCTGATGTAATCCAACTGAAATAGGAAAACACTTGATCAATCCTCCTTCTGTTCGAACACAAGTAACAACCCTAGTATGCATATCTTTAATGACTTGAATATAAGTCATATCAACACCTTTCTTTTCTAGACATCTCCCAAGAACTTCTCTTGGAACCTTATCGTAGGTTTTTTCTAAATCAATAAAAATCATATGTAGATCCTCCTTCCTTCTTTGCACTTCTCTATCAAACCTCTGTACTTCTCTTGGAACCTTATCATAAGCTTTTACAACACTATAATGATCTTATTATTTGAAAATATTTTCTAATAAATCAAATCAAACTTTATTTTTAAAATGAAAGCTAAATGCATGGTATCTGTGCATATCAATGAAGTTCATGCGAGCATGTTATGAGCTTAATGCTTTCAAGCTTGTTCAACTACAAGGGACACCAAAATAGCAGGTTATGACAGAGGACATTCTTCGGATTCAAATCCTCAATTACACGACAGGTTCCCTTCTGACACATTCCAAAGCTTCCACAGTTTTATTGAGCTTGATAAAAAAAAATATAAATAAAGACTGACATCACAAGATGACAGTAGAAAATCGTAAAGATTGGCCAACACAGTATTATTGCTCAGAAGAATTATGGATCTACAGAATTTGTACCACATTTTTCTAATTGAATACCCTACTTTCCACGTGAAGGATCCCTTAATAAATAATAAAATGCATTAGATGTAGTAATAATATAATATCCACATCATAGAGTACTCATTAATATGCAGGTGGACTAGTGGCAGAAAGATTTTTCCTTTATTGCACTCACCAGCACCTCCTCCCAATTGCACACAGGTTACCTTTGCACCCTCCCTCCATTGCAGGCTCTCTTCTTCACATCTAAGCAAGTAGCCCCTTTTGCTTGGCAGACGGTTTAATTCAAACCTTAATGGACTCATGAAGATTTAAGAGAATCATCTGAATTTATCTTATGACTACAAAAAGTGATCAGTCAATTTAATACAGAAGATATTTAAATTTAAAATCATAGAAGCTATTTTGTGTGAGTTCTATTTTTCATAATATTATTTTCTTTATCTTTTTTCAGATATTTACATTATTATTACATCATCTAAATAATATATAAATAATCTTAATATTTATAATATCAGTTAGTTTAACCCTATGATCAACCATGGTTGAAACTTTGAAACTTGAACATTTCCGTTATCGGTTCTATGTCCAGCAAGTCGGTATTCAAAACCGTGCAAAAATATAGAAAATAAAAAATAGAATACAAATGCCAGCCCAATCATTTTGCATTGGCAACATAGGATATCATACACATTTAGCCCTGCTCTAGTCTATATAAAGAAAATTGTACAGCAAACCAGTAACACTTGAACAATTTTAGAATGTACCTTATTTTTACCAAGAGATGTTCAACTGTTTTGACAATTGTTTGGCATAACAAGCTTCAATTGAAAATTAACATGGGGGCAACAAATGTTAATTCATGAAGACGTCATAATTCCTCACCAAACCTGTGCACAATTCCCGCAAGGTATTCAACATGATGTCTTATTTGAGATATCATGCAGAGTCCATCGGGATCCAAGTTGAATGGTGGTTCTGACTGAACAAAAACAATTGGTCCAAGAGATCAAAATTTTTTGGGTCAGCCATTACAATCCTGCTATGCTACTAAGTTTAGAGTGCAACCAGATATTTTACAATACATTAAAGCAAATCTGATATTCTAGTAACGTCTCTCCTATTCGGGTATTCTATTAAGGTTTGTATGGAACCTTGGCAATTATCAATAGTTGGGTGCAACTCTAGCATTCTAATATATTTGTATTGTTCCACCTAATTTTTTTGGGCAACCCTAACAATCTGCTCGGTTTTGAATGCTATTTTGGTATTCTACCAGAATTCAACCTAATTCTATTAGAGTACCTCGACAGCACCAAAATCATAAGAAAATTCTTAGGACTACTGCAACTGAGTGTTTTGCTTGGTTTGGAATAGAAGGATAGAAGATCTCGGCCAACTGAGGACTGAAACCTTTGTTTTTTTCAGGAACATTTACATACATACCACTCAATTTCTATGCATTTGCATATCTAACTCCTAAGCTTCAATTTTTACAGACATCCACCTTACCAATGCATGAAAAGTTGTATTTCAATTTTTAAAAGTTTAAATGGTGGTATTTTTTATGTGATATAAGATGTTTTGTTGGTATAAAAATAATAAAAAAAAGCTTAGGTGCTAGATATGTAAATATATAAGAACTGAGTGGTATATATGTAAATGCCCTTTTTAATCAAGGAAAAATAATCACACCCACACATGAGTTGATCTTGCTCAAGGGAACCTATGCATGCAATGGTGAGTTCATTGATATCTGAGGAGTGTGACAAACCAACTAAGAACAAATATTAAATCGTTACTAAAATTAAATCAATAATTTGAGCCTTCAAGTAACCTTGTTTATGAAATAAAAATACATCTTTTGAAATTCTTCATTAAAACAAAAAAAAATATATTGTTTTCTTTTCATTACAGAGGCGAACTCTAGGGAGTTACAATTTTTTTAAATCTAGAATAAAATCTTCAAAAAACCATGACATGCAATCAGAAGGTGCACATAGATGATACCATAGCTAATGTTCAACTCCAGGAAGATATAATTTTCTTTAAAACCTAGAACAAAATCTTCCAAATATCATGAAATGTATTTACAAGGAGCACATATATGATAACATAGCTAATTTTCTGGCAGGAAGTATGAAAACAACATTGATCTCTTAACTAGATAAACAACTTACCTATCCAGGATGAACAGACAGCTGAACCGGCAATGACAAGGTCAGCTTTCATGGCAGCCTTGAAACTAATCTCCCCTTTGTCTTCAATTATTTCGATGCCCCGCCGAGCAAGCTCCCACATCAAACCACCCTTTTTACTGAGAGCCACCACCTTCACATTTCCTCCACACCACATAATCTCTGTAGCCAGTTCCATCATTGAGAGGGGAGCGCCTGTCATGGATAGCTCATGAAATACCAATACAAATGAGCGAGTCCATACAAGTCCTGCAAATTCCCCTTGTCTGTCACATTTGCTCTTCCGCTTCTGAGGGCTCAAACCTACAATTCTATTCTCAGTCTCATCAAATGGGCCTATCATCAATCCAAATGAATTATTTCCTGTTGGAATCACCACATCTTCAAACTCACTGTCTGTGTTCTCCTCCACAGAAACCCTAGGCCTCACTCTCCTCAACATCCTTGCACCCCTTTTTCGAGGAGAACCTTTTATCAACCTGTCGCTGGAATCAGAAACCATCTTACCTTCCCCTTGTGTTGCCTCCCTCAACATCGAGGTGATGGCCTCAGATTCCAAAGATTTTGCCGTCTCCTCCAGAGTCGTGACACTAACAACCTCACTCTTGTACCCAACAAAATCTGTCTTCCTATGATCACCATGAGCCCAGCTCGATTGTACATGAAACCCAACATAAGCCCAAAGAGAAATTAAGATCAAACAAAGCACAACTCGCTGGCTCCTGAGCCACTGAAGTCTAGTACTGCCGGATCTGGAATCCCGTAGAGTGGTTCTGCTGGAATGGAGCCTCCGGAATGAAGGGGAGTTCTTTGAACCCCTCCCCAGCGTAAGAATCGAGTTCAGATTTAGCACATTTCCAAGGAAATCCTTATTTCCGCCGTTCTCCTCCATGTTTACAAATCCAGTGAAAATTTCATAGCCAGATACTGCGCAAAAATAGGGCAGATCTTTCTAGCAGACGAAATACAGCAATGCAATGTTCGACTAACTACAACCTCGACTCTTCCACTACAGTTTCCAAGAACAAAGAATTAATCAACAGGCTACAGAAATGACAAAAGGCTCAGCTGAGATTCCAGAGACTGTTGGCACTGCACTGCAGGAACAAGTAGATAACAAAACCACGAATCAATCTTCCTTTGTTTAAGCACAAATTGATGGTGAACGCTCTCTTTGCGAGCGTAAAAGCAAGCTCACGTCCACTAATGACGGGCCGTAAGAGACAGATTCAATCCGCTAATCAGCGGAGTACGGTGTCAGATCGAGAGAGAAGATACGGTTTTGGAGAATCGATCGATCCCTTGCAAGCTCGGCCAGAAAAAAATTTCTGAGAAATTTGACTCCACCTGCTTGTTGGTTTATATCACGTAAAATCTTGATAATTGTACGATAACTCCTAAATTTTATTGTAAGATTCAAATTTTTTCTTTCCTTTTTCTTCCTTGAATTATTTTTGCCTTCCAATCTCACTATTCCCTTCTCTTTTCCATGATTTTGTTGTCATTGCTTTCCCAAGACATCCTCGAAAACCCATTCCTTTTATTTTTCAATGTTTTACCCCTTCTTTCGGTTACTTATGGCGGACTAATGTTGAAGTCTAGGACATCTATTGCCTCCTTTTGTAGCCACCAAACTCTCCCGACCAGTTTCTTTCCTCCTTCTTAGTGCAAACCCATTGCCTGTGTGACCAAATCCTCAGGATACAGTCGAGATTAGAGCTAGTCAGGAGAGCAAAAATGGGATCGTGATAACGATGACCACCGAAACTCTTCTCTTTTATCACATTCCTTCAAACCATAACTCCCTTTCATCTCCTTGTCCCAAAGAAATCGTAAGCCTTACCCTTCCTTCATTCTTTTTTTTCTTCCCTCTTTTTATTCCATTCTTTTTTTTTTTCTCTTTTTATTCTAATATGATTATATATATACATATATATCTATGTGTGTGTGTGTGTGTGTGTTAATTATGCTACACGTACTGTAATAAATAATTTGTTTAATGTCTTTAATTGTATAACTATTTATATTTAAATTATAATTTGTGTGGGGTTGCTAGTCAACACTATCTGAATTGTTGAACTACTTAGAAGTATTATTTAACCGCATCTATGTAAGTAACTGTTATTTATTATAGGATAAATTTATCATTCCCTGTTAGAATCGTTAGTTTTTATTATTGTACTAAATCTGTAATTACTTTATATGATTGCTAGTTTGCCAATTTACATTATATATTTGTATTTACACTTGTTATATGATTTAGTTGTTGCTCATAATAAAATAATTAGCCATCTTATTTTAATGTTGCACAACTCCTTGTATTACATCATGCACTTTTAATGTTTTTTTCTTGCACTGTATGTAATAAATTTACATGCAAATTTTTGTCATATCAGAAGTTTGTGTGAAGTAACATATTACTTATGTATTATACATGCGGAAAAATGTTGCATAATTGTGTGTGATGGTATATAATAGGTGAAACTCTTTTAAAGATTGGTTAACCGGACCAACAAACTCACAGAGTGACCACTCTATATGAAATCAGCACATTTTCTTGGGTTGGTACTATCTTTCCCGAGTTCAGGATGTGTTAAAACTTGTTATATAAATATAAATTGAATAATAACTGATAGGTTATATATTAGTAAAACTATCAAATTTAAAATGATTGTATGTTTGCATATGATAATTAAGCACATTTTGTTTGTCACACTCTTGTTGACTTATTATGGTATATATGTATATAATAAGTATCCATTTTTATTGCTTGTATTGTATGCCTCAAATTCCTTGTCGTTTAGGCTTTCATAAATAGTGCTTATTTACTTGGTTTGATTTGTCAAGCTCATGTGTTGATATTTTTATACAGTAGGTTCTATTCAACCACATGCAAGATCGTTCCCACAGGAACAGACCTTCCAGTTCTAGATTTCTATTGGGTATTTCTAGTTTTGCATTACTTATTGTATTGATTTAGTCAGTGTAGCTATTTATCTACAATTATTCCAATTTTTTTCAATTATTTATTTATTTTATTTTGATGTATTAGTTGTTGGATTTTTTGTTTTGGAATAAAATTTATTTTTCATTATTTATGTATGTTATTACTTCCATACCATTATTCCTTTGAGAATATAAAATATGTTAAATTTATTTCATCATGCTTTATGTTGTCAAGGTGTAACAACCTGGACTTGGGTTGTGACAGAGTGGTATCAGGGTCAATATTTTGTATTCAACATTCATTGTCCTTATAGTTTATATCCCTTATCTCTTTATGATTCGATAAGGGATAAATTATTATAGTTAGTTATTTATCTAGTTGATTTTGACGTATATTTCAATTGTTTAGAATAGCTGCAAAGGGAACCTGTGTTTCAACTGCTAGTGCAACAAGAGTCCCTAGAACTACTATAGAAGTGATATTTATCTCCTAGGGGGCAACGCGCTCCTAATCATCGTCATATTGATCTTGTTCAACCCACTGAGACTACTAGAGCTCCAAATCTTAAAATTATGACTCTCATGGAGGTTGTAACACATAATGTTACCAAGGCATTACAAGCCAATTTTGCAACATAAACTGCATAAGAAATTCAGGCTATTCAATAAGAGGTGCAATCAACATCATATCTGAACCCATACCACTAGTGATTGTTATGGAGGCACAACTTAATCAAACAACGGGAGTACTATGGATCGGGTGATAGACCAATATCTAAAGAGACACCCTCATAACTTCAATAACATGATAGGCTTGAATGAGTTCGGCACATGGCTTTGTGATATAAGAAGAAACTTCAAGGCATAAAGTTCTCTAAAGATCATAGAATGGATACTATGACATTCCTGTTGCGTGAAGGAGCTAATGATTGATGGGAGAGTCGCCTTCATAACTCTTTCGAACCATATGTAGTAATTTCTTGGGTAGATTTTGAGAGACTATTCTTGGAGTAGTACTTTCTGTGGCTGATTGAGCTAAGCTCGTGAATTACTTAAGGAAGATGGAGCAAGGATGAAGAATAGTCGGGACTATAAGACATTGTTTGTCAAGATCTTCTGATTCATTTCATCAATTAGTCGGTATGAAGATCGATAGATTTATCACCTACATGTGGGCCTGAGAGATGACATTCAGAGGTGCATGTCGACTATCAAGTGTATGACTTATAGAGAGCTAGTAGACTAAGTTATTCACACAGAGATAAAGATTAATGCTTGTGAGGAAAACCATGTTGGGAAATAGAAAAATTTAGATACACAAGTGAATGATAGTTCTCAAAAGAAGCAGTAGTAGAATCACTAGGCACGAAAGTAAAAAACAAATACTCATTATGTTCATTATGGGAAATGACATTTTGAAACTCACAACTTGATCACTAGTAAATGGTTCAATTATTATAGTGTCAACCATAAATTTAAGGATTGTCCCCTCAAAGTGTCAGGTCAGCCACAAGTGGTCGCCATCTAGGAGAATAATGCTAAGAACCAGCACAATAGTAAGTTACAAATCTCAAATAGTGGTCAACATCAGAAGCATCATGAGAAGGGTGAAGCAGAATAACTTTTTCAGCCTAAATAGCAGTCGCAAGTCGCAACAAGTGATGACATCTCAACCATACAAGCCATGCCTTCTTGCATTGTGGTACCAATAGTTATCATCGATGTATTGATACCTGACAACGACTTTATATATGTTTAAAAATACAAGAATTTGACACCACTACTAGAAGATTTAAATCCCCAGCAACGGCGCCAAAAACTTGAAAGCGACTTTATATATGCTTAAAAATACAAGAATTTGACACCACTACTAGAAGATTTAAATCCCCGGCAACGTCGCCAAAAACTTAACAACGACTTTATATATGCTTAAAAATACAAGAATTTGACACCACTACTAGAAGATTTAAATCCAGGCAACGGCGCCAAGAAATTAATGTAACTTTTAATATGCAAGAATTTATGAACCCAAATTTATATATTTATAATGATTTTGTAAAGTCACAATTTCAAACACAAGTGTACGTATCGCTCAAGTAATACAGAGCTCTAGTGGAGTCCCGTTTATCGATCCCACAGGGAAGCGAGGTAAGAGATCCTTAGTCAAATTCCAATCTATTAATATTAGTCCTTAGTTTGGAGTGCAATTTAAGAGGTTTTACTAACAGATACTCCTAAATGTAAGTCTTAAGTTTAACACAACTAATAACTACTCCTAAATGCAAATATTAATTCTAAAGATAACCTTTTTTGGATGAATTGGTTTGGAGAATTTTGAG